TAATATGTGGTTGGCCAGAAACATTTTAATATGTCAATCGAAATATCTTAATACATAGCTAGCAGACACGTTTAAACGTGTCCACGGTCTTAATTAGGGAGATACTACGGTCCCGTTACGAAACTATTTCGTTGTGATTTGTAATCGTTAGATCATCTAATCGTCAGAGATAGTTAATCTAATGGTTATCAATCCCGACGGAATGATTCCGTAACGAGACCATAGCATTTTCTCTTAATTTATGCTCATTGAAAGATTTTAATACTGATGGGTACATTTTAGTGGGCACTGTAGATAAGCAATTCTATTTGTATGAAATAGTTTCCATAGTCAACTTATCACATTTTCATATTATTATATCTCAATTTTTGTCTGACATTTGGCTCCATTGGAACCAAATTTTTATATATGGAAAATTAATCAATTCCACATTGACCAAATAATCAATTCCACATTGACCAAATAATCACTCCACATTGGTTTATACTCTGTTATTATGTAATCGAATTGAACATGACGAGCTTGACCGTTTTGTGTTCATTTTTTACGTTCAAAAACTGTTCATGTTTGTTCTTTAATTTTTTGAGCAAATAATCGTATCCTAACCCTTTCATTTAATTGTTTGTAGAAGTTCAAACGTGTTCTTATTTGAATAATTTAATACACAAACTTTTTAAATATATTTGATCAAATCAAAATTTGTTTGATTGAACTAAAAAAACATGTATATATATATATATATATATATATATACGTTAAATTTTTTATTAAAAATATCATATAAATATATAAAAAATAAAATTATATTAAATTAATGTCCACAAACAAGCTCGTTCGTTTGACTTTTAAACGAGCTTAATTTTTTCTTCAAACTAGGATCGATTAACAAACAAACTTTTATCGAGCACAACAAAACTCGAACAAACTTTTGTTAGCGAACGTTGAGTTCGTTAAGTATCGAATTTTATTATGTCACAAAATTGATTAGTATAACATCTTTCAAGGACCAATACAATATACCAACTAGATGATGTATGGACCGGCCAAAACATATGCATTGGCCGGTTCAATGAACTGCCGATTCTAGACCAACCCAATTCATTAGAAAATTAAAAAAAAAAAAGGTCAAACGCCAATTCCGGGTCGGAACCGGCATGACTATTCAACAAGTGCATATACGAGGACCAAAACCGGCCAGGTCAAACCACGGGCTCGGCTCAATGCCCGTTGACCACAGACCGATTCCAGCCCTAACCGGCTGGTGGTCATGTCTACCTACAACACACACAAAGAATAAGAAAAGGAGGAGGATTTTGAAAATTGAATTTATTCAACCACAACATTACAAAATGTAGGTCTATTATTTTAGAATCGACAAATTTGATTGGCTATGGTGGTCAAGTGCCATCCATGCCTAAGAGCTTCAAGGAAATACATGGAGAAAGGTTAATCGTGCGAACTGCTAAATGTACCAAGTGACTCAGACACTTCTGTCTCATTTTCCCCCACCCAAATACTCAGTTACATTTCATCACTTCTGAATCAAATCCACCACTGGGCAATGACTATGCGGCCAATTCCAAACAATTCTCGTTCCCTGCCACCTCATCACCCGAGCAACATTATTGTGTTGGGTCAGAAACAGACAGCATCGTGCAAAGAAAGACATGACACCTCAGGTGAATGCTTAGATGAGATCATTGACACAAGTCATCATAGCCAAGAATCAACACATTTATCTCCAAAACATTTGGAAAAACACTAAGCCAAGTTATAGTTTCTAGTTGCCTGGTTAAATTCACTTGCCATTTAAAAGAGAAAAGTTCCAGCAAGTACAACCGGTTTCAAGAAAATTTGAATTCCAATCCCCAATTTAAGTACCTTTTGTTTACAAGCCACAAACGAAAGAAGCTAAAGAGAGCAGAAGTTAACAAAGGCCATCTAGACCCTTTAAATAAAAACCAGAAATTGCTGGGAAGTAGTGAGGATCATCATGTATTCATGATCAGTTTTTCGCTGCACTGCAAGCCTTAGACAGAGAAAATACCCAAAAAACAACAGAAAATATATAGACCAATGGAAGTACCAGGACAAAAAAAAAAAGG